CCCCCAGGCCCCCGCCTGTTCCGACGTTCGCGCCGACGCTCCCGCTCCGCCCCGCCGCCCGCTCGCCCACTCGCCTGCTCGCCCGTTCGCCCGAGCGGCCCTGCCGCGCGCTACGCCGCACCGCGCCGCGTCGCCAACGATACTCCCCCCACCTTTCGCTATTCTTCTCCCTTTTAGCCACACATCTCACCCTTCTCTCCCGTTCCCATCCTCTCATCTCTTCTGCTTTCTTCTCTTCTCTTCGTTACCCTTCTCTTCTCCTCTCTTCTCTTTTCTTCCCTCTAGACTACTTTTCTCTATCTTGCTCTTCTTCTCCTCTCTTCGCTACTCTTCTCTACTTTTCTCTTCTCTTCTCTTCTCTTCTTTTCGCTTCTCACCTCTTTTCTCTTCGCCTCACCAACGTCACGGTGACCGTTCTCTCGCATTGCTTCAACCCATGGCACGAGCGTGGGGTGAGCGACTCTAGGGCCGTAATACCACCCGCGAAAGAAACGCGCGGGGCCGCAATTCTTAGCGGGGTAGGATGAAGTGTCGACTTAAGGGTCGCATTACGGGGGCAGGCTTTTGGCTCAGGCGCCTTCTCCTGTTGCCCGCTGGTAATGCCCGTTCAATTCCTTTCTCGATACTCCTCCCAACTAATTTTTAAGATTCTTCTTCCCTTCGCGAGAGACAAATTGATCTTCGTTCGTGCTGTGCGCGAGGTCTATTATCAATCGCGATACGCATCGCTGTATTCGACGCGGACAAATTTCTCTCTCGTCGATCTTTGCCGCTCGATTTATTTGTTTGCGCGGGACCGGTGGTCTGGAAAATGTTCCTCCTCGTCGGACCTCCATTCCGATGCGCCTTTACAGCGGGTACAAACGCTATATTAACTTTCCTCTTTTCACGATGGTTAATTACGCGAGTATCGCGTGACACGTTGCTTTTGGCTTAACGCGCTTTGTTACAAAGCGAGATATCTTATTGGTAGATCAGATTCAGGCGTTGGGCGATACGACGTATTTTTCTCTCGGATTTTTACGCGACGCCAAATTTAGTCACGACGAATCGAATTAACGATGCTCTCGCTATTCGAAATTTAACGGTTCGAAGCAAAAATCGGTGGGGTGCGATTCTAGTTTTAACGCGTATAGAAAGTGCGGCGATGATGTAGCGAAGAAATAAATAACGTCGTGGATATTATTCGAATCGTGCTACGAAACGTATTAAATTGCCCGCTAGCGATATCGAGTGGTACCTAACGTTCGTACAGCCCTGGAGTCACGTGACGAAAACACGACGTGACGTCACATGCGCAGCAGCAGCAAGCTGCCAGTCCAACATGGTTGACCTGTGAGCAGTGGTGCTACAAACGGCCGTCCGCATTAATTGCTCGTTTCTTCC